TGAATAAGCCTAATGATCAGCACATGTGACATCCAACACAAAGAACCATTAAAAACTGCCAGTTTGCATTGTAATTTAGAAACTAGTATGTGTCACACGCCGATTGAGCAGCTGGGTAGTAACCGATTAGCTCAGGATGCTTTTCTTGGGACTCAAAGAGGTAATCTTTTTGCTGCAGTTCTGATACCTCATAAATGAATTAATGAATTATTACAAATCTTTGTGAATAAAAAGCAGAATTTGGACATTAATTGTCATTAATGAAAATTATAATGTTCTACATGGAATTTTGAAATCACACCTTTGTGGCTTCTGTTTTTTTTATAATTCTATTCTCCTTACTTAGTGTCAGTGACATTGATTCACATGCATCTCTAACCAATTTTCTGGCTTCTTAGTAAGGATTATCTTTACAGCACTGCTAACATGTCCACAGGTACTCCGATCTCCTCCTGAAAAGCTCCACAAACATAAATCGACTGGTGATGCCTGTTATGTGTTGATTAATTAAACGTCATGTCACCTTGGTGAAATGTTCATTTCTTGCAGCTCTAGGTTTCACCTCCATGTCCATCAGTCTAGACAGGGATTCAGAGTCATGCCCTTTGCTGTATTCATTTTTACAAAATGTGCTGTGCAAGGCATTGATAACATTCTGTCCAGTACAGGACCAGCCATAGCAATTGCAGTGTCTACAAGATGATCTGCAAGCTCAATGCCTCGAACACACAGCACAAAAATTAAAGTTAGGCCAGCCATTTGTGAAGTGCTTAGTGACCCAATCAATTCTTGCCTAATGAATCTAGCCTGAATTTTTTTAAGCATATTTATTCAGTCTCTAAGTATGCATGCGTGTGTGAACTCTCTGACTATCCAGTGTTGAATGTTGAATTAAGAATCGACATCACAGCACTCGGGACACTCCCATAAGTGCTACATCCACATCTTCAACAGCAGGTGAAAAGTTCCAGTACCGATGGCACCAGTAACCATCTGATTGTATATCTCTCATCCTTCCCTTAAGTGTTGAGCGTCACCCAGATCCCCTGGTAACTGCTTGCAGCACCATTCTCCTCAGACCGTATTAATTGCACCTCCACACTGTTCACTTGTTCCCAAAGCCTCTCACAATGTCTAGCTTGTCATACGTCATTTCACCACCAAGTGGCGCAGAGCCGGCAAGTCTGTCTGTCAGCTCATATCCCAACACACTGACGTAACCTGGAGAAAATATCCAAAGGATGCTAACTACCTGGGCCCTCTGAAGTGATGCTTGCACACTCTGCACAAAGCATTTGTCTTCACCTTTCTCAGCATGCTCTGTGAGTCAGCTACAATCACTGCATGTGTGTACAGCTGATTCTCAAGCCAGCGGAAAATAGCAGAGGCTGCCTCCACCTCCATTCTCAAACTATCCAGCCATTCTAGTGCTATTGTTATAGCCACTGTTTCCTTTGTAAGGTTGCTAGTTGTAACAGCAAAGGCGCCATTCATTTCTTTAATGGTTTTCCTTCTTGAGCTTACTATGAATGCCTGTGCACGTTGCTTGCCCTGAATTACGGATCTGTCAGTGTACACTACAGCATCACTTTCATCTGTGTTTTTGTCCATCATAGTTCTGACTACCGTATATTTGATATTAGGGATCTGCTATCTGCGGCTTTAATCAAGTGTTGTATGGACTGTTAATTTAAATGTTTGAGGTAGCAGGCATGGGTATGCATTCAATTCCATGATTTCCCTTGTGGATACCAGGGCCCCATTGTGAGGAAAAGCAAGAATAGACCCACTGCCTCCCAAAAAGCATGTCGTAGGAGTTGACTAACTGGGAGCTTCCTTCGAAGTTGGAGTGCATCTGCCTGAGAGGTAAGGAACCAGCAGTCTGCATACAAATAATCCAGATCTGTTAAATGGATATACATGCAACATTCAGATTCTGGAACAAGTCTAAAGTCCTGAGGTTGGCAAATAACCAGAACTTTCCACCAGAGTTTACAGCCGGTGAACGCGAAGAAGAATAATTCCATGATTGGTGTCAGTAAGACGGCAAACCTGCTAGATTGCATCCTTAGCACGACCCATCTACAATTTTCCCCTTTTAATCTATTCTTCTTTAGATTGAATAGTTTCTTATGAAGTGGGTGTCGGTAATCTGATTTCACCTTGAGAAAATCAGTGGTCCTGGAAAGATGATTCTGTTATCAATTGTGGAAAAATCTAAGAAGTGTCACATGGATTTACAAGAAGTGTCTTTAGTGCATCCAAGGATAATGCACACTGCTTCATTTCTAGTTCTCTCCAAGTGCTACAGAGTTTGTGCACTGTGCTGAGAATCTTCGGACTCAGGCTTGAGTTAGAAGTAGAACAGAGCACTTATGGGTTACTACCTTTGTGCCTTGATGTTGATCTGTTGTTCAAACCATAAAACTAACATGTCTGTACCAGCACATGTTGCAGCAAGCATGTCCATGGTATTCTGATGGGTGGCTGTGTCCTGTGGTGCAGGTTTGCTTGAGGTATCTGTCAAGGAGTGCTCTTCCTTTGTCTACATCAGACCTTTTCCATGTTTAGAAGCACCTGTCATGGCTTTGTGTACAGAAAAGAATTTTGCAAAAGATTTTTCCTTGCACACTTCTTGACAGAAGATTTCCCAGTGTGTGTCCTTGGCTTTCTGTAAAACTGCTTTGAAGGCTGCTGTCATGGTCTGTTTGTGTTACTGAAGTAGGTCTGGAGTAGAGTCAATAGATTTCATTGCTTTCTGCCAGTTTTTCACAGCATGTCTTTTAAGTACCCGCACTTACTCTACCTCATCGTTCCACGAGAGTGATTGTTGCAGCTCTTTTCCTTCGCTTACACGATGTTGACTTTTGATTTTTCTAAGCTTACTCATGAGGTCATCATTTTCTAGAGTGTATTTAAAAAGGTTTGAATTCATCCTGTGTTGTGTACTGACACCATTTTTTAACAGAATAACACAAGGACAGCGCTTGCCATGGTCACCCAGGACATACCAACTGCAGTGTTGAGAGAAAGCAGATGATACTAAAGCCGGGTCCAGCACACTGTCTTCTTCCTCTGGGTGATGGGCTATCTGGTGGTTCTGCCGACTGGCGAGACTAGGTCCATTTCAATCATGGCATCCTCCAAATCATCACCTTGTCATGTTAGTGGAACATTCCTTTCTGTTTGCATTATTTCTAGAAGACACAGCTATTTTTCTCTGCTTTCTTTAGCATTACATGCATAGACATTAACCTTTTGAGTCCCAAGGAACGCATCATACGTTCATAGGTTCCTACCTAGAAGCCCAATGAACGCAAGATGCGCCGATTTTATTACTTTTTTTACTACCCACTGGGCCTGTGATGCTAAACCCCCTGTGACTCAAAGAGTTAACCAGCAGGAAATGCATTGTGGCTCATATCATAACAGCTTGTAATTTAAGGCTGGCAACCTGCTATCTGGAATGTCACCCTCATGGTCCTCAATATTATCTTTGTCCCTACTGTAGTTTCCTGTGAAACAATGAAAACCTGAGCGTTTCAGTGTATTATTGCTTAGAAGTGTTTCTTCCAGCACAACCACATCTGCACTATATTCTAATTTGTCCAGGATAAGTTGTCTTTTGTTTGACATTGGCACAGTTCCAGTAGAGAATGTGATCATGCTTTTGACGTATCCTTTCTGATTTCAGTAGTGATCTTCTGGCTCCAGAACGTTTTGATTTTCGATTAATTTTGCAGTGCGACAGACATAAAAAAAAAATTTCTGAAGAAGGTGAAGTAATGTGTTGTAAAATGGCTCCTTGGCTTATTTCTTGATCAACAGCAATCTTTTCTTCTCTCCCAACCGGTTAAGTTAGTGGCAATCACACAATACATGACACTCAATTTACGATCAATTATTTATCGTTGTTTCAACAGTCATATCACTTTGTCACTGTCCTTGGTCATCACTGGTTCTTACAGGAAATTTGCTGCAACTTCAGAGTGACAGAGAGCTAACGGCTCAGAGTGACAGCTAACGGCAGTTCAGTTACCTTTGTTAATCTAGAAGTCCCATTCACACCAGGTTCGCATCTCTGATGCACAGCATAGCAAGCATCTTCGCCCAACTCGACCATTTAACACATTTTTATCTCCAGCTTTGCCATTTCTCTGCCTACCAGATATTCGTTCCCGCTGTCAGTTATCAGGATTCACTGCAGACATTTGTTTTAATCAAACAGACCTTTTTCGGTCGCTGTCAAACATCAAATGAATATTTCTACTTCCTCACTGCCAATCCTTTCTTCTCATTCACAGATTTCTCGTATAATTAATCATTTAAAAAGAAATCACAAGCCTACTTTGGAAACGCTTACCCGTTAATTCATTTTTACTGGACTTTGACCCTTAACCTATTACACTTGGGAACCCGTTGTGACTGGTAGGATTTCCCACTCATTACATGTGTAAACATGTACTGATCAAGGAAGAATGTATTTTTAAAAATTAAAATAGTGATAATGAAGTAAAAAAAAAAAGGCAAGGTCCTTTTCCACGCCTTTGAGCTTATTGGGAATATAGGGCTAGACCTATATTTTTATAGACCAATCAGCGCTTGGTGGGTGATGTGGTCAGCATCATGCCGGCCGCCTTTACTTCCCAAGACTGCACCTGGTACCCACACAAAAATAATGACCATATAAGATGTTATGTTTTGTTGACTCAGAACATAGATTGCACCTTGTTTTTTTTAAATGTATGCTTCTGCATCCGTGTGTGTGTTTTTAATGAGCCATACATTCAGTCTTGTAACATCCACAGTCATCTTTGTAATTATAAAAGTAGTCTCAATGTTTATTTATATTACAAAGTCCAAAATGTTACTTCCCATTAAAAAAAGTATTCTCATAAATTAGTATACCTGTATGAAAGCTCATTCATTTACAAGATTAATTGTTATATATTTTTTCATCTAGATCTTATTTTCTTGTTTGAAAATTGGAAATTATAAACATGACAAGTACAGAAGAACATTCTGGAACATCTAGATTTGCAGCACTTTCAGAAATGAACTCAAGTGAGTTGAATATTGTCAGCATTGATCATTGCTACTGCAAGCCATGGAGTTCTCACCCAGATGCAAGCAACACAAGGCCACTACATATGCTGTTTATGGAGGCTTTTCCTCACAGTTCCAGTCAAGAAAAGCCAAGGTAAACTTCAAAACTAAATTATGATTCACAAATTATTTCATGCAAGTTTGCAAATTTTTTGTTTGTTCAAGGAAGTATGTTCTTCTCACTACTTGATGATTATTGCCTGCTCAGGTATTTCTAAAGATGAGTAAAACTTAAAATATTTAGGTCTATGTTAGATCAGTATTGCTGTAAGGAGCTGAAACATGGAGAACATCTACAACTGTTGGTAATTACACACATTCATTAACCAGTGCCTGTGTGGAATAGAGGAAATTAAATGGTATGACAGACTCACTAAAGTTAAGCTTTGGGAGAAAACTAATCAAATTACAGTGAGTCAAGAGGTGGGAAGACACTAGTGTTTGAAAAGACACACATACAGAAAACCTGAGAAAATATTACTAGAATTGCACTGGAATTCACAGTGGCATAGAAAGAAAGGCAAATCCCCCCCAACAAAAAACAAAACAAACATGGAACAAACATAGAACTAGAGAGTGGAGTTGAAAAGATGGAGAGGGCACAGGGGAAGCTGTATAGATAGGACAGCTTGGTAGAACCTAGTTGAGGACCTTTGCTCCATAAAGTGCAGAAGAAATAGTAAATCCATTCTGATTCTGTATATGGAAAAAGAACCACATTGGTTGGTTGGTGAATTCTCTGCAGGACTGAATTTAAACTCTTGTTGAGTACATTTCTACTGACATTGTTTTAGCTCTGGAAATGTCTGTATCTATCAGAGCTTTATTGAAAATGTTACAGAACTGCATTTGTCCTCTCCAAGCACAGAAACCAGAGAAGTTTGCAACACAGGCCTGAAATTGTTTATATGGGGAGAAACACATTAGGATGTAACCAGACCATGATTCGGCACAGCACAGAAATTCCGGTTAAAATTGACGCTAGACAGCGGCGCTGTTCGGAGCGGAGGCAAATCTTTTGCTTCTGCCGGACGGTGGCCGAAGTATTTTTGCTCCATTTGTAGACTGGATATAGTTTCGTCACCCAGCTTCTGAGTTGAATGCATGGCGTGACCCTGTGAGCTGCGGATTGCATTTGGAATGTTTTTTCGACTGTGACCAACGTGGTGTGAATTGTAGATTCAGAAAATGGCGCGATGCCGGTCGTGCAATGCTGGCGGGACCCGTATTAAAATTGATCGCGCGGGCAACTGCTGATCCGTTGGCGACAAGTTCTGCTATCATCAATGATGAACTACATTTCTAATGTTGGACTGTTTGTGTTAGCACTTCGGATGGCTACCATATGCGTTAATGCGAGTGTATGCTAGATATGCTGAGACAGCAGTCTGTCAATCTTTCCACAAGGGACTGTGATAAACATTCTGGGTGTTTTTCGCTGGCACAGGAGCGGAGCAAAGATGGGGCGACCCGTTTGCTATGAAGCTGAAACTAAGACTACCAGACTACCAGTCGGCACAGCACAAAGGAGCCAGTTGGAAATTCGCTTAGGCAACTGTTTCCACTATGTGTTTTAAATATTTCTTTGTTAACAGACTGCAGCCCAGTGCCCTAAGGAAAAGTGATACATACATAAGTATACAGAGATGCAACTTACTATTAAGTATTATCTCATTTGTAAATTCAAGACTGTTCTTTAGTTAAGGAGAACATACTCAAACTGCCTCTAGTTTTACAGTAGGTTCTGAATGATGGTTGTGTCTTAGTAATTTATTTTTGCTTTAAGATTTGATTTGCTTTGGATTGCTTGTTACAGTGTTTGTAATGCACAGTGTGAACAACATACTTGAGGGCCTCATCACTTTTTAAAAAAAAGCAGGGGGAAAAAGCTTTTTAAAAAAGCAGGACTATTAAGGACTTTTTTTGGACGGGTTCTGCTTCCAGTATGGCGGCCCTAGCAACCATGATTAGTGCAAGGCAAGAATTTGCATATTGTTTCGGTTTCATCGCTTAAATCAAACCTCTTACCAGTTCAAACACATGACGGCAATGTGTTCCACCGCTGGATGCCGCAAGGAAGTTAATGTTTGTGTTAGATACTGTGTAATTAATAATTGTTTGATGTTTTTGCAACCGGCAATACGTCACAGTACTTAGCGCCGCTAGCAACATAAATGAACTATAAACAAATATGGCCACACGATATTGTGCACTGGAATACACAAGGATCAGAGAGATTCAGGGCTGTAGAGGTCCGATCTCTCACGCAGGGGAACACACCAGGCGTTCTGCCTTGAGAGCTTGGTTAATCCCTCGATCAGGAAAACTTTTCTACAGTCAAGACCGTTGTGCATGACCCAAGAGGCACAAAACACAACGGATCTAGAGGAAAAAACCTTGATAAAAAAAACCTAAGCTTACGGTGTACCTAAGTGTCTGTTTGCTGGAGGATATACAGTCGTGAACATGGTCTGGTTAGAGGGTGGGGCGGCGCCAGGTTTATGGACTCCTTTTGGACATCCCCTGCCTCCTCCCTAGCAAGCAGGCAATACTAGGGTGACCGTTTACTTCATGCATTGAAAGAATACCTTCTATGGATTTTGTACTTAATAATAAAAAGAATCATCATCGGAGCTAGGAGTATGTGCTCTGTGCTTGCAATCATCATTATAGAATTAGTATTTTGGGGTTATGTGAAACTAGATGGACTGGGACAGGGAAAAGTATTCTCAATTCAGGAGAAACTATTTTGTTCTCAGGACACACAGAGGAAAATTTGCCGCACAGTGAAGGAGTGGCCCTGATGCTATCAAAAGAAGCAGACAGAGCACTAATAGAATGGGAAGCTGTGAGTCCCAGAATAATAAGAGCATCTTTTAGAACAGTCACAAAGGAACATTGGGACTGGCTAAAAGAGTTGGAGGAAATCCCTGGTAATAAGCTTCTCATTTGTGGGAATTTCAATGCACGAAACAGATCATGGGACAGTACTGGGAAAAATAGACAGGGAAATGCTTTAGCAGAGGCTATGGTGGTTGCAGACATAGTCTGTATAAATGATGGAAGGTTAACTAGAATGGCACCGAGACCTGGTGATGTAGACACGGCTATTGATTTGGCATTTGTTACCCAGTCAGCAGTGCTGGACACAAAATAGAGTGTCTTAGGCGATTATATGAGTGACCATATGCCATGCTTAGTCCTGATTTCTAAAGCTAGCAAGGTCAAGTCTGTGAGAACATGCAAGACTTTTAAGTATGAGAGGGCCAGTACCCTTCTTGGACACCTTCGACAGAAGGTATGCAGCAGAACTATCATCTCTGCTTTTGTGCAGCCTCAATGGTGGACCCAAGAAGTAGAACAGGCTTTGAGAGCAAAACAAGCAGCAGTTAAACAGTTACAGAAAGTGTGAAAGGCACCTCACAGGTTACAAGAAGATGTAGAGAAGCTAGAAAAGGTTAGAAAAGTAGAAGAGTTCAAGCTATATGCAACATGCAAAAAAGGCTAAAAGGGAACATTTTATGAGTGAAATTGGAGAGAATAAATCACTGGGTAGGTTTTGTAAACTTCATTGACAGATGCAAAGAAAGGATTGGCCTATCACAACAGACAAAGAGAAAAGGGGAAGCATTTTTGAAGAGGTTTATAGACCAAACTGATTGATAGGTGGCTTATAACCCTCACATAATGCTTCAGGTCAAAATGGACGCTAGGCACGGCCACTTTTTTTTTTTTAGCCGTGGCAAATGTTTTTTTTTTTACTTCTGCCAGGCGGTGGCAGTCGCATTTTTGCTCCATTTGTAGACTGGAAGCATATAGTTTCGTCGCCCAGCTTCTGAGTTAAGTGCATGGTGTGACACTGTGAGCTACATGTGTTTTCCGTTGGCACAGGAGCTGAGCAACTATGGGGTGACCCGTTTGCTATGAAGCTGAAACTAGGATTACCAGATTGATAGGGGGCTTAGAAATTCAGTTAGAGATAATCTGTCCAACACTATAAATGATAATTATTTTCCGAATATCATTAGGTTAGAGGTTATAAAATATGTATTGCAAAAAGCAAAAGACACTGCGCCGGGGCCAGATGGAGTGGGGTATGCCCATATGATGAGCTTGAGTGATGAAGACTTGAGGGAAAAGGCATTTCACTTTAACCAAAACGTTAGAACAGCGTCAGTACTCCAGGATTGGATACACAGCTACCTGATCCCCCTTCAAAATCTAGGCAAAGATCAATTCAGACTCAGCGGTTTCAGCATTATCACCCTTCATAATACTTTTGGCAAGGTGCTTGAGAAGATTATTGCTGTTAAACTACAAATGTTTTTGAAAAGGGAAGCTGCTGCCAAAAGGTTTAGGTAGTTAACGGCCATGGAAAGATACATGGTCTGATGCAGCTACTTTGCTTTTTTTTGTTTTGTTTATGAAGGTTTCAAAAACAGACAGGAGGCAGTTGTTATAGCACCTGATCTTGAGGATGTCTACAATAGAGTCAGATATGATATTTTGATATCTGCACTTATGGAGAAGGGGGTTTGCAACTGTCCTACATTCAAGTATGGTTGTCCTTCACCTTGGTACATGGACTTCAGAAGCATGTAATATAATTCTGAGACTACCCCATGGTTCTGCAGTTTCACCAGTGTTCTTTATCATCTATACAAGCAAGATTGCAGAACTTGAAGCTCCAGGTGTTGGAAGGATATTGACATTTACTGATAATGTTCTTGCTGCAGGCAACTTTAGACAAAGTGACTGACTGGTGTTTAGAAATGGGTGCTTTGTGTTTTGTGGGGCTCTCTGGACAATTGAATTGTAGGAGCTAACGTTCCAAGCCTCACAGTTAATAACAGTAACATCAAAAGAGAAAGCAAACTGAGGTACCTGGGTATAACTTTTGATAGAAGCCTGTCCTATGGGGATCAGGTGGAGGCAGTTGCAGTGAAATGACAAAAAGGACTCAATGCTCTTAAGATAAGGGCAGCAGTGGACATGGAACAAAGAATGCTGTTCACAATTTTCCAGCATGTGATCCTGTCGGTGATAGATTATGGACTTGGAATTCTTGCCATATCAAAGAGTCACCTGATGAAACTTGAACGCATACAGAATGAAGCCATGCGGGTAATTCTGGGATGTACAAGAGATACCTCTGGTAGTATGTATGCGATATATACTTGCACTGCCTACTATTGCAGATAGGCTCAAAGTTCTGCAGGCAATGTCATATATCAGTAGCTGCAGACAAGAAGCACCTCCTGCATAAAGCCCTGGGTAGAACTAAGGGTTACAGACTGAAAAGAGGATGGCGCTAGCTGAAGACACAATTGGACATGTGTGCAGGCTTGGTAAATTTGAGCGAGGAGAAGAGTGGGTGAGGGTGTCCGCACAAGTTTAAGACTTTTGTAGCAATCTAATCACTTTAGGTCGTGAGTGCAGACACTTGACAGCTGGTGCTGCAGAATCAGAAGTTCAACAAATGATTTATGACAATTCCCACCCAAGCGATGTGATTATATATACAGATGGCTCTGTGTTGAGGGGCAGACAAAGTGCATGGGGTTTCATAGCAGAGGCAAATGGACATCGTTTAGTGCAGCAAAGCCTGGCATATGATATCACAACGTCTAGTTTGAGAGTGGAGGTGGAGGCAGTCTCTGCTGCCTTCCGCTGGCTTGAGAATCAGCTGTACATACATGCCGTGATTGTAACTTGACTCACAGAGCGTGTTGAGAAAAGTGATGACAGGCATGCTTACTTGCAGAGTGGCAAGCATCACTTCAGAGGTCCCGTTTAATTAGCAGCCTTTGGATATTTTCTCTAGGTTACGCCAGTATATTGGGAAATGAGCAGGCAGACTAGCCAGCTCTGCACCACTGGGTGGTGAATAGGTGTATGACAAGCTAGTTATTGTGAGGGCCCTTTAGGAATGAGTAAACAGTTCGGAGGCCCAGATAGATCTGAGGAGAATGGCGCTGCGAGGAGTTACCAGGGGATCTCGCCGGCGCTTAACACTCAGTTGAAGTATGAGGCGGATATACAATCAGAAGGTTACTGGTGCCATTAGAATTGGAACTCTTCGCTTGCTGCTGGAGATGGGGACAGAGCACTTATGGGGGTGTGCCGAGTGCTGTGATGTCAATCCTCATTCAACATTCAAAATTTTTTTTTTAATTGTAGCCTTTCTAATTTTGACTTACCTTCAGTTTTTTTTTAACATCGCTGCACATTTTCTGCCTATGATTCTCACACTTTCGTATCTAAGTGGTTTGAAATGTAACACCATAGGCACATCTTGGACATAATTTGTCAACTCTCTGAAATACATTTATTAATTTATATATGTATATGCTCTCACCCCTTTATTAATTTATGTATGTATGCTCTCACCCCCACTTTCCCCTCAATCTTCATCCCCCCTCCCCCTACTATCTTCTCTCACACTTTCAAATTCTGTACATGGTTCACACCCAAACCACACTGGGACATCACACAAGCGATAAACAACAGATGACACAAAATGCCACCATGTGGATGAGGATCACCCGTGGAGAGGTCCCAGAGACCGTGTTCAGCTTATAAACCATATTTATGGCCGGGCTATATTGCGGCCCCTGGCAAGAGTCAGAGTGGGGACTTCAAAATAACGAAAAATTGCATCCCACAAGAAGATGACTGGTTGACAAGTACAATCTACACACTCTCACACAAAACACTTACAAAATATTTCATTTTTACTTTAGCAAATTTACTACTTCTGTATTTCTATATTAATATTTATAGACTTGAATTTGTTGATCCTACTAGGTCCACAGATGTTATAGATGTAGTCGGCCATGATGATAGAACACCTTGTAAATATGTTGACAAAGTTGAATCTATGTTGTCAAATCGTGTAGTTAGTCATCTTGGTTATGCTGATGATAAAGATGATTGGGAAGATCACATAACATCTCTAAGGTGAGTTTCTAAAGAAAATACTGCCGTTTGTTTGTATGTCAAATTAATATGTATATTACTGTCACTTTATGCTGCGTTCTCAAACCATATTTTGGGGACAGCTAAGCTTTACAAATCGTTTTAGAACAATAGAAGAATAGGTAGTATTTCATGGAAACAAAAACAGTTTCTGGAAAGACTATCAAAGAAAAGAGAATTACTAAAAGAAATTTAAAAAATAGACAACTAAAATTATCTGGCCACATTAAAAGACAAAATTTGCTTTTAAAAACCATACTGGAGGGAAAGGTTGAGGGCAAGTAAACAAGAGGTAGACAACAATACAGATGGGAGAACAATATAAAAAAATAGGCTGCAATGTGGCTCTGTCTAGGGTTTGATTGAACTCATCACATTGCTGTACTGGTGTTCCTTAGTTATTTAAAGTTACTACGAACACACCAGATGACAAACACGCCCCTTGGCAGTTATTGATCTTTATTGGCTGTTCCAACAGGTGCACTGTCCAGTCACTCTTCTGTGTTCTCGTGGCAGCTACACATGGCTCATTTATAACAATAGTTCCAGCTATCTCACACTTTGATTCTCTCTGCAGTTACATTTCGGTCAGTACATCTGGATCAGGTTCCTGGTACCTGTACACAGCCGAAGCTTGCAGTCAGAAGACATTTATTCCGCATCTCGAACAAGTCAGACAGTCCGCATTCTTCTCAGCTGTTTCACTGCATTCGACTGCACACATCCAGGTCCAAACTTCAACTTACTTCCTCTCGTCTCTCGGTTCAAACCTTCCGTTCAAGTCTCACACTTTCCCTGTACCTCTGTTCACCCAACAGGGGATACTCGAGACATGCTTTCCTTACTTTCGTCTTGTTTCACTGGCCCTCTGACCTTGTCACCCCAGTCGGGAACTCTGGGATTTCTTTGGGAATTCACCTCATTACAAAAGGTGAACATCAGTCTGATAGAGTGTACAACCTAGGCAAGAGATATATAGCATTAGAGATCCATTGCTAGCCAACAGCTTCGTTGTATTACAGGAATGACACCCCCTTTTTAGTAACAAACTCATGGAGTTTTACCTCAAATATAACAATTTTAATTCTTGAATGTTCACTTTCTCATTTTTAATCATTGTAAAATCATTGCCCATATATACCTGCCTCCTACCATAGTATTAATGGCTTAAACCCCTACAGCGAGCTAAGATTAATTTATGAAATTGTGGAATTCCTCCACCAGCACATTAGTAAGAAAAACTCCACAGTGGGAGCACGCACAGCAGGAGCTGCCGATCGTCGGTAGGTTGCTCTCTCATCAACAGTTGTTTCTGCCCGTTATCCTCCTAGACAATCTCAAAGGGCGGGCTGACCTGGGTCATGACTCCCAGGCCTTGGACTTCTGCTGCGGGTATCGTACAGGACGAAATGGTCATGGGTGCTGAGGTTATGGTGTTTATATATATATATAACTCAACATCCCTAAAAGCCAAAGTGTCCGATAAACGATGAACCAACGTCTATTTGTCACTTTGGTCGTGTATCAACGCGCCTACTTACACGACCAAAGTGACAGAGGTTGGTTCATCGTTGATCGGACACTTTGGCTTTTAGGGATGTTGAATTTTTTTCACGGGGGGTGGAGGGGGGGGGGCCCGGCCAGTCTACTGAGGCCTATTCCCCATGATGTTCCTTTGCGTCCACAGTCAGCTCAAAGCTGTTTCCGCAGCTTTACCCAGTTGTTTTAGTGCCTGTTTACACTAATTTCCTCGCAAGCCCAAGTGTTTTAGTACATTGTAAGTCGAGGTGGAAATTCAAGCCCTGTTGCACCTGCCTCAACCGCAAAGAGTTTTACTGCGTACCGCTCGTCGCTCCTCAGACTGGCCACCATTTCACTGTATTTCTCTAGCTTATACAGATGGTTTTCTTTGATATCCAACTCATTCGGCACGCTAGGCAATCAGGATGAGCTGGCATTCTGTCGCAGAGTACAAAACTATATCTAGTCTCAGGCTAGTCTTTCAGATTCTTCTTCTTCTTTTGTCAAAATCTGCTTGTGCCGCTAGGCGTCGCAGTCTATCAGATGATCGGCAACCGAGCCAGGGCGCGCTCAGTCGCTTCATATGAAGTGATGTTATGAAGTCTCAAGTTGTGACTCCTTCACCATCTTCTTCTTGGTCATTTTCATGTGTGTGCTCTTGGTGCTGGCATCGTTGTTTCATTCTCATTAGCCAAACCATTTCATTCTTTGCTTCTCAATAAATTTAACGATGGGTATGGTTCCATAGTTCTTGTAATCACATCGTTTCTCACTCTATCTCTTCTGTTTTATTCGCAGCCATTCTCAAACATCTAATTTCACAGTGGTTTCTTCTCTCATGTTCTTTTGTTAATGTCCAAGTCTGCATTGATAACCTAATGTCGGTATAAAGATATTTTATAATTTGTTTTTTTTTATCTCAGCGGGACAGCAGGGTGTTTTAAAATTGGGGCAAGTGGTATGCGACATTATTGGTTGTTGGATTCTTGCTTTGATCTCTCTGTTATTTTACCATTGAATGTAAAGATACTTCCCAGTATTCAAATTCTTGCACTTGTTTTAGGCTGTGATCTGAATCTTTATGTCGATGGTCACTCTCTACTTTGCTCGACTTCTGTCTTTTCAGTATTGATCTTCATATGATGCTTGAGGCAACTGCCGTGTGGGTTTATGTGGTCTTGCAGCTGTTTACTAGGCAATATGCATGATCGTCGGCAAAGAGAGCTTTTAAGTCCAAGGAAGCTCTTAATTAGTTTACTTCTTCGACAAGCTTGTTGGGGAGGCAGTTGGCTTGTTCTTGTTTTTCCCCACAATGGGTCCCTGGAACACACACAGCGAAGGCAATTTTGATGAAAGTACCTTTAGATATTTGCTAAGCCTTGAGGAAGCACATGGGAGGCACGTTAGGACTGGCCCTCATCCTGGCTTTATCCACGTCTGCCAGCTCTATCAGGACCTTATTGTGGCGTCATGTGTATCATCCCTGACCTAGGGCTTTTCTCCACGCGGACAATACGTGCTCGAACGCCTGCCTAGCTTTGCATAAGGGACATGTTGGGTCGCTGGTCCTATGCCATTCGACCTTGTTAGCGCATGAGGGTACCATATCGCACGCAGATTAGATGACAAAGCTCACGTGCAGTGGAGCCATTCGTCAGATCTCGCCCCATGTGAGCTAGGCAGTCTCAAGGTCTTTCCATTGGCCTTGCTGCGACTGCTGGTCTGCTTTTTAGACCCATACCTTGTTTTCGGAGTCCATGATATGCTGTGTTACCATGTCTCTGTGCTCTTTGGTCGAGGCTTTTGACTATCATTTGATTTTCCCTTGCCCTAGGCCGCGTCGGTCGGTTTGTGTGTTACCCATGACTTCTCACAATTTTAGTACCTTGTGAGCAGATTCTTTTGCATCTTCTACTTTCATTTCTTTATTGTCTTTAGAGTGGGCTGGACAATAGCTATTATGGGGTCTGCTGACTCGCTCAACATTGTAAACATTGTAAACAGGCCAATAAGCCAATATGAAAGTGGTATAAGACAGCTTAACTCTGGCTGCGCATGGAAAAACACAAGGCAAGCATCTGGACATCTGAATATATCCACTGTCTCAACAGCAAGGGTTTGAGTCCACTAAGCAGGTTTAAGTTCCTTTCCCTGTGTGTTTTCTGGTCTGCCTTTTTGTTTACCCCTTGTAAGTTCCAGTGTAGAGCCTTTCTAGTTTTATTCTCATTTTTTTTTCAGTGTATGTCGTATCCAACACTGGCTTCTTTTTTTTTTCACCTCTTGATTCACTGGAATTTGTTTAGTTCTCTTCTCTCCCTAAGCTCCACATTAGAGATCTATGTTACCATTTAATTCCCCCTATTCTGCACAGGCACCAGTTAATGAATGTTTGTAGTTTATTAGTAATTGTTTGATTTGTTCTTCATGTTTCTGTTCCATACAACATTACTGACATTATAGTTTTTTTTTTAAATTTAATTTGGATGCATTTTTGAATTTGAAGTGTAATGTTAGTTTTTATTTCCTTTGACTTCGCAAATTTCCTGTTGCTATGAAAACTCTTCTTACCTTTTGTATTTGTATTTTAATATCTTTTCAGTCCCCCTGTTATCAGTAATGTCAAAGATTTTTGGTAAAATAATCTCAGTAGAGTTAAAGAGGTAGTGGACACAATGCTGAGAAAGGAACGAGCAGATTTTTTATTTAGGAGAAGCTGCTCAGGTCAGATATTCACCCTGAGACGCATTTTAGAGGAATTTTTTGAAAAACAGCAACTTATTTTCAATTTCGTCGACTATAAAGCTTTTGAAAGCTTACACACAACATTACAGTAAAAACTTTTTTTTTAATGCTATTGAAAGTAAAAATAATATTAAGGAAATGTATGAAGGTTCAGAATATGTTTTACGAACAGATGAGGGTTTAAGGGACTGGTTTGAAGTTGAAATAGAGATGAGTTTAATCTCCCCTGTTTTTTAGCATAACTGTTTGTTGGGTGATGAAAAATTGTGTTGAAAACACTGGCATTAACTGGGTGGAGAAGGTCTTGATTTTGCTGATCATATTACTCTGCTAAATAAAAACAGCTATTGACATGCGAAGAAAAACAGATGATTTAGCAAATATAGCAACAAGGGTTATATATTGAAGACATTAATACAAGATCACACAGATGTAACTTTAGAGACAGAAGGAAGGAAACTAACATTATTTGGTTAGTAATCTTGATAGTGAAGAAAATACAGAGAAAGAAATTATGACACTCATTGGCAAGGCATCATCAGCCTTTAAAAGCCTTAAAATATGAAGCTCTAAATTGTATAGTTTTAAAACCAAATTACGTATTTTCAGTTCCAAAATTATTTCAAAATATGCCAGTGAAAGTTGGAAAACCACTAAATACATGGAATGAAAATTAAATGCGTTCGAAAAAAATACCTGATGAAAATTCTTAACATAAAATAGGATGAATTCAAAAGGCGTGAAGAAATAAGACATTTGTTTAGACAACCACTAGTATCAACAGTTATAAGGCAGAGAAGATGGCTCTATATTGGACTTATTCTGAGAAGAAACGAGCAGAGAACCACTTAGGAACTAACATGAGAAATAAAGGGATTAGGGAGGCAAGGATGCCCAAAAAAACCTTAAATTTAATGTTGATGGAAGATGCCAAAGGTACTAGACAGGATTTCATCCTTGATATTGAATTGATTGCACATAATAGAGCAGAATAGAGGATCGGACTGCGAGCCTATATGACATATAAAGGCACAACAGGTCAGTGACGTTGATGATCAGTTCCTGTCTTTATCTACCTTATGTCCGAATAGGTGTATGACTCTACATCTTGGAGTGTGATATCTTTGAGAAAAATTAAGAATACTGTTTGGTTTAATCCCATTGTCTGTTTATTCTAATTATCTGTGTCTTTCCCTCACATATTTTTTGGACCTAATTGTTCTCTTCCCCCCAACCCCCCAATCCCCCAATGTTTATCTTGCAACTGATTTTGTGAGTGGAATAGAAAAAAAAATGTTATCAGTGAAGTCCAGGCTAGCAAGATGTTTTGTAAGAGTCCACTTAATTCCATTCCATTAGCTGTTGCTGTCTTCATAATCAAATCATTTGCTTGCCACACACCCATTGTAATTTCAAATGTATCTGTTAGTTTTTTCTCATGTAAAACTCAACATTTCATGTCTTTGTATGTTGCCTTTACTGCAAGATTCTGTAATGCTTCATCAGTTGCCAGAGGGATTCTCTATCAGTGGTGTGAAAAGCTTTTTCATAGTTTATGAATCTACTCTAAAGTGGTGAATTCTGTTCAGTGCTTTGGTCTATTATCCGTAGTGTGGCTATCTATTCAGTACGGGATCTGTTTTGTTGAAAGCTTGCTGGTTCATTCCTTAACTGCTGATAATAAACATAATTTGCATATAATTTTCACCCATGGGGGGGGGGGGGGGGGGGGGGGGGGGTTTCACGAGACATCTTCAGTCTTCCAGACTTTACTGAATAATTTGTGTAGCTTTCAGTAGATATGTTTTTTTCCATTGGCTTTAACAACTTCTGCTGGGATACCATCTGGATATACACCTTCTTTCAGAGATTGATAGCTTTCCTAATTTCCTCCTTAGATGGTATCTCACAGTTGACAACTAGGACCATTTCTAAATGCCGGATTTGTGGAACGACCTCTGTGTCTGATCTCTTTAGATGTTCTTCAAATTATTCAGCCTGTCCATTCATCTTCAGTGTTAGTTAAAAAAAATTCCTTTCATATTTTGTTGTTGTTGATTGATCCAGTTGGCTTACTATAGGAGGAAAAATGCTGATCTACTCCCCCCCCCCCCTTTTTTTTTTTTCAAATTCTATTTCAGTCTTCCCTTGACATTTTCCAACCAACTTCCTCAAAATCTATAAAAATATACACAGTAATTATCAGACAGAAAGAATTCTGTTTAAAACTATATTGATGTAAATTTCCAGAGAAAGACTATGTTAGCTAGATGTTTTATCAGTGCAGAGTGACTATGATGTTAATAGATATCAGTTGTGTAAGTTAATTACAATATTTTATTCTTTTTTTTCTCTTTCCAATAGAAGTACGTGGTCAGTTTTGCAAAATAGAATATTTGCAAAAGTAATGAGGGTGCTTCAGGCTGACAGGCTTGCCAGATTGTCTGTTCAAGGGGTAAGATACTGCAAACATAATAATAATAATAATAAAATAGCACAGATTAACAATTTCAGACACACTCAGGGCATGATGATTTAGATGACATGTATGAGGGAAAGTTTCAGTGTTGTGGAATATATTGGGGTGTTCTTGTAGCTCACCTCAAGCACCAGCTTTGTCTATGCTGGTTTTATGGACGATAATGCAAGACTCCTGCAACACCTCCACATCGTTTACCTCAGATAATGGCCTATGTCAGCCTAGACAGAGGTGGCAGGGGATCTCAGAACCGGTGACTCCCCAGAGATGCCGCGTCCGAAGATCTTTGGACATTGATAACTTGGTTTGTTGCAGACGTTATGCGAAGGATATACTTATCATTGCTGCAAACAACAAACAGAATTAATACACACACAGATGAACCAGGCACACAAGAACATCTCATTGCCCTACAACACGAACACATTAACACCTTAGCCTTTTTAGATGTCGTGATCAGATGCAGGAATGATGGCCTTCAAAGAATAGTATATCATACACTTGGACGGGTCAGTACATAAATTTAAAGTTTTGCATCCATCCGACATTAGCGAACATTATTTAACCATGCTAGAAAGATTTTCTCCAGTGATACACTGCGATCAGAATTAGAAACTTTCAAGTAAACATTATTATCTAATGGTTATCCAGTTGGATTTATTAGGTGCCACTTCCAGCCTCCTAAATCGACTGCCACAGAAATGTCAGCCCCAAACAAGTCTGTATCCATCTAACCTTTCAAGGGTATGACCTTATGAAACTTCTAAATGACCGGCTCAGAACATCAGTCAGTCAAACTCTCTGTGCTGCTGAAACAGTCCCTGTGCCAGTGCCTTCTGTGAAACAACCTGTTGAGACATATGCCAGATCAAACTGCATCTATCAGTTTAAAAGCAGCTGTGAAGCTGCTTAAGTGGGCAGAACTGACTGACGCCTGGAGAAACAACTGGCTGAGCATATTCCAGAACAATAATTTAGGGAGCCGGCTTAGCCTAGTCGTTAGGAGGCTCGCTTTGAAATCCAGCTGCGACTCGCTGCAGTCACCGGGCGTTTCCCGGGGTTCACCCAGCCTCTAGGAAATGGGAAACAGAGTGACACTCTGGGGTAAATAAAGGAATGTCGCTGTAGCTACAGAGTTACGTGCGAACGGCGACACAGGCGGACAGTTTCATATCAGCTGTCCAAACTGGTGGCAGAGCACTTATGGGTTATAACCGTGTGCAATGACGTTGGTTCACATCTCCCGACTTAACCTTTTTTTTTTTACAATAATTTAACAAATACTACCCAGGTGACCAGTCGTAAAGCCCACCCGTCCTCAGTAGCATGCCATCTTTTAATTTCTTGGCACACTGTGAAAAGGAGAGGGCATTTCAAATTCTTCATACATTGTTCAGTGGCACAGCACTAAGATTTCTTAAAGCCACTGTGATTTGTCAATTCTGTCCTGAACTTTGTAAACAGAAAGATATGTTGACCTTGTGATTGCCCTCGTAAAAGCATGCAGTTGCTTTTGAGTGTTGTTGAATTTGTACTTCAATTTTGAAGGATTCACTATTTGCTTCATTGATTTTAATTGTTAATGTAGTGTGTACCTGACGAGATACAGCGAAATATATCAGGTAATAAATTGTGCAATCTATTGTTTGTGTCTTTGTTCAGATTTACAGCAGGGATTTTTCATCTGCTTTTTCTTCTTTCTTTGCATTCACCAGCTGTAAACTCTGGTGGAAAGTTCTAGTTGTTCGTCCACTTCTGGACTGCAGCCCTTTCCAGAACCTGAGTGTTGCGTGTGCATCCGTTTGACATATCTGACACATTTGTATGCAGACTGTTCGTTCTTTGCCTTTCAGGCAGATGCACTCTGACTTCGAAGGAAGCTCCCAGTTAGTCGACTCTTAACGACATGCTTTTCGGTAGTCAGTGGGTCTGTTCTTGTTTCCCCTATAATAGGGCCCTTGAACCCACACGGGGGATATGCTTTTTGTTTTAGAGATAATTTCATTGTGCCTGTTTGCACCTTCAGCAGACATATCTAACTTCTGATTATGTAATGAACTCAGGCTCAGCTCCGTCCACCTACACTCTTATAAGTAACAAAGTCAGGTCAAGACACTGTAATTTGGTGTTCATTCATGCGTGTTAACCTTTGAGACTCGTAAGTTTAAGTGGCAGGAATGTCAGGTAGGTGCGACTTTGTATTGTCTCAGCAGTCTTACCGGCAACCACACTGCTCTCTATTGCAGGCAATGAGATGTTGGCTCATCTGTGTGTGTATTAATTCTGCTTACTTCAACCAGAGCATTAGGACAGCTTCAGTCCCAAAAGAGTGGATGCACAGCTACCTGATTCCACTTCCTAAGCCTGGCAAGAATCATTCAACATTAAACACTCGACGGCTTTAGGATTATAACCCTACAAAACACTTTAGATAAAGTGCGGGTGAAGATAGTGGCGGGTAAGCTACAGGAATTTTTGGAACAGAGAAATCTCCTTCCACGATGATTGGGACACATGGTCAAATGCCACTTTTGCCTTTGATACCTTTGAAAGTTGCCAGAACAGACAGAAAACGGTGGCAGCGGCACTCAATTTAGAAGACGCTTACAACAGAGTCAGATACAGTATCTTGATGAAAGGCTTATGGAGAAGGGAGTTTGTCCTTTGTTGGTGGATTGGATAGCAGCTGTTTAGTATACTTGCAGTGTAGCTCTCCGCCTGGGTTCATGGACCTCTGAACCATGTATTAAAGCTCCAGGACTGCCACAGGGATCTGCAATTTCACCTGTACTGTTCAGTGTTTTTACGAGCAAGTTTGCCTACCTGGAAACACCTGGAGTTGGCAGAATATTGACATTTGTAGATGATGTTCTTGTATATAGGAAGGGGAGAGATCAGAATCAAATAGCTGAAGAGTTACAGGCAACAGTAGATAAGGTGATAGACTGGTGTACAGAGATGAGTGCTGTAATCAACCCAGAAAAGGCAACCGTCCTGTGTTGTTCTTTGGACAACAGGATTGTTAGAGCTGATGTTCTCAGACTCAAAATACATGGCAGGGACATCAGAAGAGGCAGCAGACTGCAGTACCTGGGAATCACCTATGACAGAAGTTTTGTCTTTCAAGGATTACATAGAGGGGGTTGTAACAAGGGCTCCTAAAGGTCTAAATGCACTTAAGATTATGGCAGCGATAGACATGGAGCAGAGAATGCTGTTCACACTTTACCAGCACTTAATCATCTCAGTGATTGATTATGGATTGGGGTTACTCACTGTCTTGAAGAGTCAGCAAGAGAAACAGAATGAAGCTATACGGCTGATCCTGGGATGTACAGAAGACACCCTGATTGTTTGCATGTGATGCATCCTTGCTTTGCCGACTATTGCAGATAGGCTAAAGGTGCTGCAGGCTAAGCCATACCTCAGAGTAGCTGCAGACAGGGAACACCCTCTGTATGAAGCTTTGGCTGCAGGTAAGGGTCAGAGGCTGAAAAGGGGAAAAATCATGGATGGCTCAAGCAGAAGACACAATAAGACAAGTATGCATGCTGGCGAGGAGAGGAGTAGGTTAGAGTACCAGCAGAAAAGTCTGACCTGTGTAGGGTTATGATCACATTGGGCCAAGTGTGCAGAGAGTGGCCAGCAGGTTCTACTGAGGTGGAAGTCTAACATTTGATTCATGAGAATTCACACCCAGGTGATCTGATTATCTATACAGATGGTTCGGTGTTAAGAGGAAAGAGAAGTGTCTGGGGGTTCGCAGCGAAAGCAAATGGAAAATTGTCAGTACAAGACAGCCTAGCATATGACACCACAACATCTAGCATGAGAATGGAGGTGGAGACGGTAACTGCAGCTCTCGGGTGGCTGGAGAACAAGAAGCATACACATGTCGTAATTGTAACACTCTGACAGGGATGCTTTGAGCAGAGTGGCAAGCTTCACTGTAAAGGTTACGGCTGGTGAGCATACTTTGGATCTTTTTTCCAGGCAATGCCAGCGTGGTGGGTAATAAACAGGCAGACAGATTGGCTGGATCTGTGCCACTGGGTTGTGAATTGATACATGACAAGGCAGATGTTGTCAAGATCCTTTGGGAACAAACAATTGAATCAGTAGAGAAAGAAGTTTATTATGGCCTGGAGAGAATGAGGCACCTGGGTGTAACCAGAGGGTCTGGCTGGCTCACTACATCAGAGGAAAGGCAAGACGTGCATATAACCAGATTCTGACCGGTACCATCAGTATTGGAACTTTGTGCTGGCTGCTGAAGATGAGGACAGGGCATGCTGTGATGTCAATTCTTGACTCATCTCAACAGGATGTGAGGGGTTTTAACGACCCCATAAATGTACAACTAGCCCTAACCCTAGCCCCCCTACCCTGAACACTGAACCTAGGTCCCACGAGAGAGTGCATTCTACACCCCTGCAATGTAGACCAGCCTGACCAGTCATCAGTGACAGGTCAGCTGATGTGTAGCTGGGCCTGAGTTCATTACTAGCTCCCTTACTTCTTCTGATTGTTTTCTGTTATAAAGCCTTCCTTTTTAATTTTATGAGACATTGCACAGCCTGCTACTATGTCATCTTTGCTCCATAAATGCAGAGCTACTACATTATGCTGTTGTACAGGGCTAACAAGAATTAGTCCTCAGACCTTGGACTTAATTATTTTCATAATGTTTTCTTTGTGTAAATCGTACATGAGACAAGATTTTCTCTTGTGGGCCCATGATGGCCATTATCTGTGTGCATGACATAGACATATATCAATAGTCTTACATGAGGTTCTGTAAAACAAGCAGTGATAAATGGTGTCTTATAAAAGGTAAAAGTAATTCCATGGCAGATATTGCCATAAGGATGTAAAATCGTAGTCATGCACACATACTAGGTCATAGCATATGGTTCGAGTAGGCTGTTTGCCTTTCAGAATATCATGTCTTTCCAAGTAATTTCCTCCAAACATTCTTTTAAAAAAACTTTGTTGCTTTTTTGTGTGTGGGTGTGTGCAAGGGAGGTGGGTAGGTAGGTTGAGTCAGCCTCAGCTTTTCTGGTTTGAAGAAAAATACTAACATAGATGGGAAGTTGAATCCAGCACGTGCTTTTACTCTAACCATTATTCTACCACTGCTCATTTGACCATTTATTGGATGATCAACCTTCCCAAATAAACATGCAGAGCAAAGCTGGTTTTTTTCTGTCATTGTTTATTTTTGTTGTTGTAAGTTTTGTCTTAGCTAGGTATTGACTTTTTCACTGACTACATTTTCAATTTTTCAAAGTTAGAGATTGTTCATTCAAGTACATTGCCTTTAGTTCACAATATATTTTCCTCTTCTGGCAGCTAATGTGTTTGCACAAATATTTAAACAGATAATAAATGAGTCAGTTCAAAGAAGACTTCAGATAGATAAAGCTGCAAGACGGGTTAGATTTTGTTTCGGCAATGTTGGCTGGGTAAGTATCAGATTTTTTAAATTCTATATGTTTTCATCACAGCACTCACATACTTACATTTATTCATTATTATGGTAGGGGTGCTGGTATTTAAACAGATTTCTGATGACACATATCCTGAGTTCAAGTTTTTAATATCTTAAACTAAGACCAGCAAATATTTGAAAAGGTGCAGTTGTTTTTTGATGCTCTTTCTAAATTTATACTCTTTATACTCTTCGCCATCACTATCTAACTGTAAAATGGTGTCTGTCAAAGTGATATTGTACTTCATGCTCTAAAATAAATAGTATGCAGTTGTAGTTTACACATGTAATTGCAGCTCATGCATTGCAATAAATAAATATGTAGTTGTAGTTCACATATTGCAATAAATATGTATGTAGTTATAATTCAGGCATTACAATAAATAAATATCTAGATGTATTTCATATTTTGGAATAAAAAAACATATAGTTGTAGTTCACATTGCAATAAATAAATATGTAGTTTGAGTTCATATATTGCAATAAATAAATTTGTAGTTGTAGTTCACACATTACAATAAATAAATATTTAGTTGTAGTTCACACATTGCAATGAATAAATATGTAGTTGTAGTTCGCACACTGCAATAAATATATATGTAGTTGTAGTTCGCACACTGCAATAAATATATTTGTAGTTCACACATTGCAATAAAGAATATGTAGTAAATGGTTGTGTTTTACACAGCTGTACTTTATGATGAGTATCATATGTGCTGTGCCACATAGCAGTATTTCATCATCACAAACAGAAATTGAATTTTCATGGACTATCTCCATCTTCAGTTATCTTCGTTTCCATACTAGTTGAAAATTGTGAATACCACTTAAATATCTATGCACAAGATGGTATTGATCCCCGGCAAACTTGTTTCATTAATTCAACAGTCTCAGCAGGACTTTTTCTAAGTTTAAAACGTAATTTAATGTTCGCTGTTTGCTCTGTGCTGCTAAATTTAATGGCATGTTACTTTGCTGATTGGGCAGTAGTCTCATTTTGTGACATCATAGATGAATGTTGCTTCTTTGGATTTCATGATTTTTTTCTCTCAGCTGGTCTATCTCATTATTTAATTGTTGTACATTGTCTAAAAGTAAAACATAACCAGGAAATTCATGGTAAAATAAATGTTCTTGTCTTTTTTTACTCATAGTCAAACCATATACAAACCGGTGGAAGACAAGGGGAAGCCACCGCTGTATTATCCCTAGAAAATCATGCTTCGAAACATAACAAATTCAGATAACGATGTGAATGGGGATTTCAGTGGAATCACCTCGTCCGATAGAGAGCATCATGTTCTACAGGTGATTCCCGACCGTCATCCGGCTACTGTAGAAAAAGTAAATGGTAGAAACATCCTGAACATTGGTACATGGAATGTCAGAACACTTGTACAAAATGGAAAGTTGGATAACATCAAGATGGAAATGAAGAGAATGAACATCAACGTTATTAGGAATTAATGAAATGCGATGACCAGGAGCAAGTGAAAAATATTCACATCAGCACAGAAATATTTACTCAGGTGGGAAGGAATATAGTAAGGGAGTTGGTATTATTTTGGATCCAGAGAACTCAAAAACTGTGAAAGGAGTTTGGACAGTATCAAATAGAGTACTATTAGTAAAACTTTACAGCAGACCGTTTTACATCACAACTTAGTACAAATTTATGCTCCAACAGCAGATAGTTCAGAGGAAGATATTGACACATTTATAACGAGTTAGACTTGGCTGTTGATCAATGCAAAAATTGTGAAGTAACAATGGTACTTGGAGATTTCAACGCAAAAATAGGAAGTGAAAAAATGTACGGAATAACGGGTGGCTATGGCCTAGGAGAAAAGAATGTGAGAGGTGACAGATTGATAGCATGGGCTGAGTCACACAGCATGATAATAGTTAACACCTGGTTTAAACACCATCCTCGAAGATTGTGGACTTGGAAAAGTCCTGGCGATAATATGCGCAATCAGATCGATTATATTTTGATTTAAAGAAGATTCCGCAGTAGCTTAGTTGGAGCAAAAACTAGACCAGGGGCAGACTGCTTTAGTGACCATGTTCCAGTTAAAGGAAAGATTAGAATAAAACTAAAGAATATTAAGAAAAAAACACAGAACATCAAGTTAAACTTGCGAGTTATTAGAATGGATAAAGAAACTAAGGAACACTTCAATGTCACTACAAAACCGGTATAATGCAATGGAAATTATACAGACTATTGATGAAGAGGAGTTAACAGGAAAGATGACCTTAAACAGCATTTGATGTTTAACAGATGGACAGAGTATATCGGAGAATTGTATGATGATAAAAGACCAGATGTAGAACTGCAGACTAACAATGATGGTCCACCAATAATGACTGCAGAAGTTAAGATTATGACTTGGGTTCTTGTCATTGTTTTGTTGTTAAAGTTTTAATGACAGATGTATTTGATAACTAGAATTTGACATGGCATTGTCTTGTCTTGTCTTGTCTTGTCCACAATTGCCTCACAGCGTAGTGGAGAGTCGCAGTTTTCTATCCTGGGCCAGGTGTGTTGCACGTGTTGTTGTTAGTCCGTGTTGCCTCAGGATCTCTGATATATTGTCTATCCATCGTACTCTCAGTCTGCCTCTTGCTCTAGGGCAGTAGTGCTGTTCGTTGTATGCTCGTAGAGGCAGTTGGTCGGTTTGCATTCGCATCAAGTGGCCAAACCACTCTATTTGTTGCTTCTTTATGTATTGCAGGCATGGTGTGGTTCCTACAATTGCTCTAATGTTCTCGTTTCGAACTCTGTCTCTCCTTGTGACATTGGCAGCCTTACGTAAGCATCTCATTTCGCACGTCGTGATCTTTTTCTCCTGTGCTTTTGTTAGGGACCAGGTTTGGCATTGGTAGCAGAGGGTTGGTATAAACATGCAATTTATCAGTTGTCGTTTTAGTGCCATAGTGATGCTTGGGTGTTTTAGCAGTGGGGAGAGTTGGTAAGTTACTGCGTTCGCCTTTTGACATCTTGCCTCAAGTTCCCTATCAATTCTTCCATCATCTGTGAAGATGCTCCCCAAATATTTAAATTGCTGCACTTGTTTGAGTTGTTCGTTGTTAACTTGAATAGTTACTATATTAGGTGTTCTACTTATTTTCAGAATTTCTGTTTTGGTGATGCTGATCTTCATGTTATATTCGTTGCAGACTGTGTGTAGCGCATTTACGTGGATTTGAAGTTCTTTTTTGTTTTCATGTATTATGCTTTGGTCATCTGCGAAAAGTATTTCGTTCAGTTGGGGATGTACTTCTTCAGGTTCGGCGTGTATGTTTTCATTATAATGATCTCTTTCAACTAACTCTGACTCACTGCTTGGTGTAGTTAACAGTTCGCTTATCATTACATGGTTTGCTGCTGTTGTTATTCTGTCCATGTATATATTGAATAGTAGTGGTGATAGTACACAGCCCTGTCTTACTCCTGTTCTTAGTATGAATTTGTCTGTCACACCAACATTTGTTCTAACTACACTTGAGCTTGTTTGGTACAGAGATCTGATGCTTGTCTAGTAGCTGACCTTGTACTCCATAGTCGTTCAATATATTCCATAGTTTGTTCCTGTCTACTCTGTCAAAGGCTTTTTCTTGGTCAATGAATGCTATATTGAGTTGTTTGTTATATTCTATATTGCCTTTTCACTAAGTTGTCTTAGGGTGAAAAGAGCGCCTGCATGGTATTGTACAGCTAAATTAAGAACTTAAACCACACACGTCTTTGCTGTACAACCCTGTTGTGTGTGTAATCATGCAGTTTAACTTGCTTGTGCGATTTAATATTAGTAACTAGTGATGATATATCAAAAGGTTGATAATTAACTGGAATATCATTTACAGGATATGACATTGATCATGTGGCTTCATAATCTGTTACTGGACAATTTAAGGGGTCAGTTGTTGACTTCTTATTTGGAAGTAATTTTTTCCCTGAAATCAAAGGTGGGTGTAAAATTGTGATTTGTCTTTTGTCTGTCACAAATGTGCATGTATGCTTAAATTCTGAACATCCGCATGACAGCAGAAGTGGAGACCAAAAAAATGGTGGTCTGTGACTTTAACGGGTTATCCTAGTCGTCCCCTAGTGGGATGCAATTTTTTGTTATTTTGAAGCCCCAATCTGGCTTTTGCTGGGGGCCCTGAAAAAAAACCGGACCATAAATATGGCCTAGCCATAGATATGGCCTATCGGCTGAAAGGGGTTTCTGTGACCTCTCCACGGGTGATCCTCATCCGCATGGTGGTACTTTGTGCCATCGGACATTTTTTGCTTGTGTGATGTCCGGGGGGGGGGGGGGGGGGGGGGGGTACAACTACCTACCTGTAACAGCTGCTTCCTGACACTCCATTCAGAAAGGAATAGTTAAAGCTGCAGAAGGTTCAGGCTAGATATTTCTGGCAGAAATGGCCGGCACAGATAATTATCCCATCTTCAAAAGTTTCAGTGGATCTGTTGTCCAGACTGCTGGTGTGCAGTATAAATGAACACTGAAAAGAACACTGCCATTGAGCAAGAGACAGAGAGATGTGATACTGTCTATTAATTATTGACTTTAAAAAAAAAATAAGGAAACAGATCAATGATTGCGGCCTCTAGAATCAGCAATCCAATTTGGCAGCAGCGAGAACGATATGGTAAAATGAGGACGAATTACTCCATACATAATCAACTGGCCACTAGAACTACAAGTTCCTATACATACTCTTAGATGTTTTTTCAGAGACATGGAGTACATATAGGCTAACATTAATGTTAGTTGACAGTTTTAGAACCCTTGAAACAGCAAATAAACCTAATAATTAGAAAATTTATAAAAACATAAATAGTGTCAGCCTTTTTTTTAAATGTTGTTATTGTGTTGAAAATACTGTGTGTAAGGTCCAGAGATAACTTGACTTAGTTAATGATATTGGTGTCCTGTTTAATTCACATAATTATATGATAGCTCCATTAGGCATTAGACACAGTTCCAACTTCATGATAGACAGACCACCGTATAATTGCTCTGTTCCTTTGCCAGTTAAAATCACACAAAATGCTCTTCATTGTCTCGTTTGAAAAATAGTGAAATCATAATAGTCGCCGGAACATCTAGAAGCTCGTATTCACAAAGTAAATGCATAAGGCCCAGATGTGCAAAAGAAACAAACTTACTTGATGGTAGATTTTATTTAAAAAAAAACACAGAGAAAAGTTGAAGTTTATAAGATTAAATCAAAGAAATAACCCAATCTTGTAGTCATAAACTTGTTAGTCGTGAATTTAGATATATGTAGGAGTGACCAGGGAAATCAGGTTGCCACTCAACGCTCAAGGGAAAGACGAGACAGATATCATAACATAACCCTTGACCCATTTGGGTCGTGGAGTAATATTGATGGAAGCGCTAGCACATAAAACCCACCATCTTTCTCTGTCTTCCGCTTGATAAATAAGTGTATGATAGCCTAGTCCCGTCCATTTCTTGATGTTGCCATTCCAGGTTCTTCTTTGCCCTCCTCTTTTTCGACTACCCCCCAATGATCCTTGAACATCGATGCAATCAAATCGGGTCTCACCACGTGCCCAAACCAAGCTAGCTTGCGACATTTCTAGACGGACATACAGTCAGACAGTTAAGTTACTCGTGCCATTGGACTTGAAACTCTTTGCTTGCTGCTGAGGATAGGGATGGAGCATTTATGGGAATGCCCTAAGTGCAGTGGTGTCGATTTTTGATTCAAAAATCCAAGATTTAACATTTTTAGACATAATACTTTAATAATGCTTCATGTTACATTTTCTGCATGGTGTGCTGTTTGTCAGTGTGTTTACAGTCTGCTCGCTTTGTTGACAAAACTGGCATTGATCATCTCCAATAGCACGCACACACACACACACACACACATATATATTATATATATATACATCATTTTGGATTATATATAGATTTGAATTTAGTGATAACATTCTTAATTATCTCCTCTTCTTCTGTCTTCATGCACGATTATGACTTGGGTTCTTGTCATTGTTTTGTAGTTAAAGTTTCAATGACAGATGTATTTGATAACTAGAATTTGACATGGCATTGTACAGCTAAATTAAGAACTTGAGCCACACACATGTCTTTGCAAGTTGCCATACAATGTTGTCTATTCATAGTAAAATTGCCCGACGTCTCTAGCTAAGCTGGTTAAACCAGCTGCTCAGTGACTGGGCGACAAACTCCATGGGGTCCTAGTTCACACTCAGAGGTAGGCAGAAAAGCCGCATATTTCCTAGATTGACGGTGTCTATCATGGAATCAAGGCCACCAAAGGGTTACGATATCCATAGTACCGAGTCAAAGGTTTACAACTCATGGTTTCTGGATTAAAGATGAATATGTTGTTTGCTTTTATTCCAACAGATTCCATCACTAATGGAGCATTTGATTGAAGGTGTAACATCCAGACAGGGATTAGCTTTGGAATCTGAAAGTGAATTCTCTAAGATGAACTCAGATCCCATTCTTTCTAATGCTAATCTGCAAAAGATTGTAAGATTTTATCATTTGTTTGTCATTATCATTATCATATTTAGAGGATTTGGTCTATGTAAAAAGAATTAGCAGCAAGTTTTCTAAACATCAAATTTTTTCCAGTTTTCCCTATTAGATTGTGCTTGTTCTGGCTGTGTAGATAGGGTCCTATATTTTAACTAAAGCTCTTCCCCCCCCCCCCCCCCCCCCCCCCCCCCCCCCCCCCCCCCCCCCCCCCCCCCCCCCCCCCCCCCCCCCCCCCCCCCCACACCCCCCCCCCCCCCCGCCCCCCCCCCCACCCCCCCCCCCCCCCCCCCCCCCCCCCACCCCCCCCCCCCCCCCCCCCCTCCCCCCCCCCCCCCCCCTTTTCGGCCACCCCCTTTCTTTCCCCGTTAAATTCCTTGTTCGGCATTTCGAACAAATGTGGGGGTCATTCTGAAGAAGTTACAATTATGGTCCTTGAAGTCTTATTAAAGATCTCCCAACTCATAGTTTGCAGGTATTTCTGGTTGTGGTGACACTTTAATGCAATTACTATATCAGTAAATCCCAACACTCTTTTTGAGTGTTATTTTTTTAATTTCCTCTTCCTGGGATTCTCAATGTATTCTGAGTCATTTGAAAGAGGTTACAGTTAGGGTTCATAAATTTCATATTAAGAATCCCCCAGACCCTTGATTCCCAGGTAATTTTTTATTATTCTGACGCTGTAATGTAACAACAGTAAAACAAATCCCAGAAAAACCTGTTCACCCTCCATATAATTAGGACACCCATAACAGCTACACAGGTATACATTGGATGTCCTGCTGCTCTGGGTGGGTAAGGATAATTATCTTTACATACACTTTCAGAATTCAACCTGAATAATCAGTGATAAACCAGTAGCAGCTTTTCCTGTCTTCCAAATATTCCATTGTGTGGTTAATTTCTGGTTGTTACCAGCTTCCATGGTGTTGACAAAACAGCTTCTGAGTGTGTAGTTTTCTTTGACAGTATGTCATCAACATGACAGCATTTAATAAGGCTATGTATAAGTAAAATAGTCACATCCATTCTATCTTGAAAATAAAAATCACTATTTACTAAGACATAAGTAAACATCATGAATTCTAGAAATAGGAACATGCAAAGAAAAATATATAAGGTGAATGAAATGTTTCCAGTGAGTACTCAAACCATGATAAACAGCCATAGAATGTTTATATACCAGCAACAGAAGATGGAGAATCTCCTAAGAGTCCTGGCTCCGGTAAATAGAAATATCATCCTAGATACAGAATGATAGGTATGAGGAATAGCACCGTAAAGATCTAGTTTCTGACCCACGTGTCAGAGCTGAAATGAATCTTGGTGGTCTTTTACCTGTCAGGTACAATTCCCATATTTTACGTGAAGTACGGCCTCAGAAATGAAATCACGATGTGAGGTAACAGTTATTGGGCTCACCTGAATATAGATGTAAGACCATAGTGCTAAGGTTTTTAGACTGCTTTAGAGACTGAGTCAAAGTTGTTGTACAAAGCTGAACTCATTTCTTCCTCCTCTAGTGACTGGAAGTGCATGCCAGTAATCATATTGTCCAGCGTGATCTCAATTTGTAGCCAGGTTTTTGCCACAAAGTTGCTGTGTGCTTGTTCTTGTTTCTATACGTGAAAGGGTTGTGCTCTGACATGCCAGGGTATTGCAAAACTAGACAAACTGGGAATTTCCCAAACAGCACTCGTATACACATAGGGATATCCCTCTATATCATCTTTGAATAAAATGGAGGGGAAAATCAAAAGGTCAGAAGGGGAGATATGTCATTCAGATATCGTTGTCTACTTAAAGCGGCATCTCGCAATACAGGCACAAACGGTACCCCAAAAATTAGTCTTCAAGGAAACTGAAATAGCTATTATTCTGTGATTTGTAATGGTTGTCATAACCAGTTTTTCAATTTCTCAGGGTACAAGGTTTCTTCACCAGGAGACTGTTTGGGGGGAAACCTATTTTAAAGTTTAAAGCAAATTGTTTACACTTCAGCTCGAGGCAAGGAAAAGCATCATTTCACATTGTGAAGAATATTCGGTTCAAATAAGTTTATTATTTGAGATGAGAAATAGAGTTCTTAATAGCTTTATGGAAGCGAGTCACCAATGTCAACAAAGTAGTTAGAAATGATGTGAAAGCTGCAGAGATGTGGTTTTATAGAAGAAAGATGATAACACCATGGACATATAAAAACAGAAATTCTCAAATAGAACAGGGTGCCTACATCAGAGGAAGACAGTCTACATCCTTTGAAAACATAATAAGAACATTTTAAAAAACACAGTACTTTCCTGTGAATAACGGGCACAAAAGATGGCGGCCGCAAAAACACCCTAACGGGGTCTCAGTCACGTGTCGGTTGCGCACTTCCGGCGACATAATTTGTGGTTTTCCAGCCACTACCGCCACCGCCGAGAGTATCCCCCATGCGGCTCGCTTGGCGTGGATTAAGGCTAAACTAGATGGCTGAGACTCACGAGCAGCAGCTTCCGCATCTTCCTGCAGCTTTGCTTGTGAGTTCTAGCTATCTAGTTTAGCCCCATTCCACGACGCGTGAGGGATACTCTGGGGGGTGGCGGTAGTCGCAGGAAAACAGCAAATTAGGTCGCCAGAAGTGCGCAGTTGACACGTGACTGAGGCCCTGTTTTTTGGCCGCCATCTTTTGTGCCCGTTATTTGGAGGATAGCCAAAAACAGTATATTGAAACAGTGGAAAAGATGGAAGGGAAGAAATAACATGATAGATAGTTTTGCATCATGGCATTTACAACTCTATCCGAATTGGTTGACAGTACACAAGACAGGAGGTTGTGAACATATAATGGTGACAACACACAGAACAGTAAAGAAGATGATTCCTGGTTTATGTTTTGCAGTTATTATTTCATCATCAGCACATACCTGTAACACAGAATCATCCTTGTCCCTTTAGACAGTGCTGCAGATGAATCACTCAGCAGAGTGATAGTTTCAACCTGTTTGCATGAACAAATTTTTTCTTTGCAGAAGAAATTACCTGATAATCCAATTCTGTTGATGATCTCTACCACTCCTGTGGAAAATAAGCGACATCAGCTTTGGCAGCAACAGCTGTCAGCCATGGGGAAAGTTGTCAGTGTTTTTCCAGACAGTACTAATTCTAATATACAAACTACCAGTTTTGTGGAAAACATGTTCACTGCAACCAGAGCCAAGATTATGGAGGTAATTATTTCTGAATTCTAGTGAAAATAACAGTGTACAGTTTTGAAGATTTAAAAGAATATTTTTTCAACATTCTGTAACAAGTTTTGTTTCCCCAAAATTGATTAAATATGTGTTTAATTTTATGCCTTAAAAGTGGAAACACATTTATAAAACTAAAGTACCCTTTTTACGCCTTTGATGCACCAAGCAAGCCTTGCTAGATCTATATTTGTATAGACCAGTCAACACTCAGTAGGTAATCTGATCACAAAAACACATTTTTACCATCTGTTTAGGCTCGTTTGTATGCAGTTGAAGTTGTAATCCATAAATAAGAAGTATGAAAAAATATCTTTGATGTTTTAGCCGCATGTTAAGAAAGGCCAGTGAAATTCATTGGTTCTGTGGCTGGTGTGAGACTGAATTCAACCAAGGTGGTGTGCAATTGGGGATTCAGTTCTTTACATGCAGAGGATGTTAACCAGTCACTATTGATTGCAGAATGCAGGCAGTTTATGGTTAAAAATGTATATCATAAACACAGTGAAGAACTATGAGTAAATTTATGCTGCAGTGCAAGTGTTCCACTGTAGGGGCATTCACTAGCTGAGGAATTCTGTGTAGCACTGGACCAGTTAGTGGTTCATGAGAAACTGAACTATCAGGAAGTATGTTCACAATTATTCCTCTGAATGCTGGCATGCCACCTAAGGGAAGACTTATAAGTTGGGTTATCTTTATGGCATTCCGGGCACATCTTTGGGTGCTCAAAATCCCCCTTCAGCATATACATCAACGTCCCTACTTAGTAATATCAGTCCTGTGGTGGGTGAGAAAACTTCTTGTAAGTCTGGTGTGCCTCTCATACACAGCTGTGCCGATCTTTAATCCTGATTATTGCATTCTTGGCAGTAATGTTGACACACTGCTCTAAAAGTCCTCTGATTGTCCTCTCTAGCTCTAACAACATTAACAGAGTCCAAGAAATTCATAGGTTGGCCATATACAACTCAATCAGAACCAACCAATCTGTCAGCTCTATCTTACTCATTACATAGTGGAAGGTGGTGTATTTCTGCTGCTAATACTGACAGAGGATGAACTGTGGTGTCAACACTTTGAACTGTGCAGAAAAACTGCATGACAAATGTACTGTTAATATTTTGTTTGACTATGTCTCGAGTCGTAATGCCAGTTTCGATCCCAGCTGCAGGCCCTGTACCTTGCGTTGGTTTCGACAGTGGTATCAAGAAAGCCGACCGTCCAGAAATCAGTTTCAAACTACTGGACGTAAATTTGCCTAGAAAAACCACACAACAGCCAGGGCTGTTGAGGTTGGTTCTGCAACGTCCTGTAAAGGATACGCAACTAACCTAACCTGTGTCTTGAGTATATGACAGTTTAGTTAGTTAGTTAGTTAGTTGGGTTATCATCATTGCACTCCAGACATGTCCATAGGTGCTCAGATCCTCCCCTCGGTATGAACCCCAACGTCCGATGGCTAATAGTACCAGTTCTATGTTGATTAACAAGTCTTCTGACGTGTCCGGTGTGCGTCTCGTTTTTTGCTGTGCCGATCTTAATTCCCAAGTCTGCCATTCTGGCGAGTGATGTTGATTCACTGCCACCAAAGTCCTCTATCCTTCCCATTTCTCTGAGGGCATTGATAATATCAGCATGATCCATAGGCCGAACCGTCGGTAGTGATAGCGGATCCAGCCAACCTGTCAGCTCTTTCATTTCCATCGACGCCTGCGTGTCCCGGACAAAAATAAAGTTGACTTCTTGCACAGTGGACTTCTGAATTGGCAACTGAACCTGCCTGAACCCTCCTGATCAGACTCTTTGAATCACTGAGTATACATATGCGGGTGTATTTTTTGTGTTTCAAGCCAGAAACCTCCATCGTCATGCTGCTGGTTGTCATGGAGAAGGCGCCGTTGGCTTCTTTGACTGTTCTGCCCGCTGAGCGTGTTGTAAATGCCCATGCGCTTCTCCTTTGGCGAATAACGCATCCGTCTGTATAGATTAGTGCATCTGCTTCATCTGAATTTTCACCGATGTGAGCGTTGACCTCTGCATTAACAGCAACAGGATTCTCTTCTCTACATCGCCTGTTGAGTGTGACAATACAGGAAAATGTACAAATAAACGCCTGAGGCACAGGTATCCATTCTGCACCAGGTATGATGTCGGTTAGGCTGCATATTTGCCTAATAACATCTTCTGCCCGACCTAGCCACGATTTTCCCCTCTTCAGTCTGTCGCCCTTTTCACTAAAAAGTGCTTGATGACAGTTTAGTTATTGGCAAAAGACTCATCTTCATCATGGCTCACTAAAAACCCACTTGGTTCCCTGTCAACTTGCATCCCAGGGCATTATAGAGTTTTGAGATACTCTGTTCATAGCCACGCTGGTTGACCTCTTCTTCCAGGAAAACCATTCCTTTTGTACTGTTCTTTGCAAACCACTCTGGCAAAATGGCTGCTTAGGCTGTTCTTGATTTTAGCTTCTTTGGTCATCACGCGGTTAAAGATTCAGTCCAGTGGTTTTCGCTATTTTTGTGTTTCTTGAGGGGTAGCTTTTTCCTTTTTTTTCCAGCTACACCATTTATCCATCTCTTGTTCTTCCTTTCACTTTCTGCCCAAATGTTGTGTTACAGAAGGTTTCATTTACTTTGGTCCAGCTGTATTCTCACCAAACCACTTGATTCTCTATGTTTCAATGTAATTCAGGCATGATCTTGTTCCAACCTTCTCTCTAATGGTGGTATGTATAACCACGTTCCTTCCTGTGTTATCGGTGACATTTTGGAGACAGCGCATTTCACAAGCAGTTATTTTCTGTTTTATCCTAGGAAGAGGAAATGCAACCTGACAATTTTATGTTATGGCTGGGCAGACCAAGCCCTTGGCTGGTAGCTGGTCTAGGAAGGAAGCTAAGACAAGCTGACGGATAGAGTACTGCTCTTGTGATTCAAGAGCTTTTGCAACCTGCTTTTGTTCCAAACATACTGGTGTTACCTTTCCTTTGAAGCAAATAAGGCAGGCCAAAATAGGGATCATGATGCATGGGCAATATTTGGTCTCTCAATATGCCCAGGCTTTGTGCTATGAAGATCACGAACTTCATCCCTGGCCGTATTTGGTCTTGGAAACAAATTGAGAGGCCGCACTTACGGGTTATAAGTCCATGTCAATTGGCCCCAGGCAGAGATGGGATTCATATTGAGATCATCAGTAGTGGGAAAGACATTCTAACCCAACACATTCATCAGCTAAAAATACTCTGTTGTTGAGAACAACAGGTTCTGCAAGACTTTAAAGACTCAAGCATCATAACTATACAAGAACAAGGGTGATCGAAGTGACTGCAATAACTACAGGGGAATATCATTGCTGTGTAATGTTTGAAATGTACTTGCGAGAATTTTTCTGTGAAGACTCCAGATCCTAGGAGACCAGGTTTACCCAGAGTCACAGTGTGGCTTTTGTTGGAACCGGTCTGCCACTGATATGATATTCTCATTACGATAGTTGCTATGAACAAAATCACCACTGTTTGTTGCTTTTGATCTTACCAAGGCATTTGATTTGGTTAGTCAAAAAGGTTTGTTCAACATGCTGAAGAAGATTGAGTGTCCACCTACTCTACTGAGCATTATTGAGTTACTCCACACAGGTATGAAAAGTACAATCATCTTTGATTGTGTAACATCAGAGGGATTCATAATCAACAATGGAGTGAAGGAGGGATGTGTACTTGCTCCCGACCAACACAAAGATGGACACAGGATATAAGTAACTCCTTGAGTATGAAAGTAAATGAGGCGGGAGAGCTGCCAAGAGGCCGAATTTCTTTCAGGCCGACCGCAATAAGAGCGAGTTTCTGCAAAGGACCTGCTACATAATGATGATGATATCTGTGCTGGTATACCCACACTTGTGGCACGAATGAGGTACCTTGTGTGCTCGGTACACCCTTAAACAAGGCAACAATCCTGTTTCAGTATTACACCAAGACAACCTTGAAAAAAACGAAGGAAACCTTGAAAAGCCTTGAAATTGATTGTTAAATTTGGGTGAGAGCTGAGCGTCTGAGAAGAAACACACTAAAGACAAATGTTGACAACAATGGTCCTGAAATCCCATGCTATAATTGTGGAAGATTTTTCTTACCACGAGCGGTTCTTGCTAGTCAAACTCACCATCGTCGTGGGCTGTGAATCCCATGCCTCCTCTTGGCGCATATAACACTGTTGTCTGGAAAGATCCACACAAATCGATCCAACATCCAATGATCTGGAGCGTAGCACAGGGCCAGCCAAATAACAAAAGCAGACAATCGAGCAGAAACCACAACAAATAGAAAGCGACAAATACTGAACACAATCCAAAACCAAATGAGATCGAGACCAGAAACGTCACCACAAAATCAGGAAAGAGAGCAGAAATGTGATCTGATCTAGCTGAAAGTGGTCAACGTAAGAGAATTAGAATTAGATGGAAAAGTGCCAATCAGTCAAATTTCTGTTCCTGTGCTGTACTTATTGTCCATGTTTGATACTGCAAAAATAAAGTAGGGATGAAGATCCTTGTAAGTGTTTGAATTTGCCTTCTGAACTCTAGCCTCTATATATGTTGAGTCTGACACTCTCTGTGAATATGCTTCCTAGGTATGTGAATTCCTCTACTTGTTTGATTGTAGTATCATTGTCATGAATGCTCATGTTATTTGTTTCCTACCTCCTGTTCTCATTACCTTGGTTTTTGTGAGAGAGAGAGAGAGAGAGCGCGCGCGTGCGTAAAATTTTTTTTGTGTGGATGAAACCAGGAGTGTGTGTGGTGTAGATTTTTTTCTTATTGGTGCATCAGACATTGATTACTTGTGTAATTTGATCCATGTGTGTAAGGAAAGCAAATTGTGAGAGGACACATCTCTATCTGATACGTTATATGATGGAAAACCAATCTGTCATTCGCTGTGTTGTTACTGTGAACTGTTTTGATAGAGAGCCATGATATACCCAATATTGACCTTGTATTCCTCTAGAATCTTCCCTAGTTTGCACCTGTTCACTTAATTGAAAGTTGAATGCCATTAATTTTATCCCATTAATGTTATCTAACAGAGGTCAAATATTATTTGCCATTGTATTTTGAGTTCTACTTGTTCTGCATTTATTTTTTTTTTAACTTCATCAGGTTAAAAGCCATTTTGCAGGAAGACCCATTATTCTTATTGGTTGGCATATCGGAGCGTTAGTAGCTGCTCATGTAAGTAATCTGTTGCCAGTATTTAAATTATTCTGTAATTGGATAATGCGGCAAGGAAAACATTTTTTCAGTATACACAAGAAAAAGTGCAGAGACAAGCATGGTATTTAACACAGAACCAAGTTATTAAACCATGTTTCATGGAGCTGTGATTTCTGTCATAGGTATGAAGGAAGGTTTAGGCAGTTGTGTTGTGTATGAGGACACACCACCTCACCTCAGCGCTAGTATGCCCACTGCTGGGTTTATGGATCGCCATGCAAGACTCCTACCATTCATCCTTGTCATATGCTATAGATAAGGGTTTAAATCAGCCTGAACAAAACTGGCAGAGAATCTCAGAGTTGGTGGCCTCTGTGTATAGCCAGATATCCTACTATATAACAAACCTGGTTCAAATGTCTATCGACTGAAAGTCCTACTGCATTGCTATGTTAGCTCAGATGTCTGTCAAGTGTCCCACAGCATAACAGCAAAGTTCCAGATGTCTGACTGTTGAATGTCCTACTGTGTGACTGAAAATGTTCAGAAGTCCGACTGTCAAACATTCTACGTTGGGACAGACAAGGTTCAGAAATCTGACCATCAAATGTCCTACTGTGTGACAGAAAAGGTTCAGAAGTCCGACTGTCAAATATTCTACGTTGGGACAGACAAGGTTCAGAAAATTTGATCATCAAATGTCCTACTGTGTGACCCGACTGTCAAGTATTCTACGTTGGGACAGACAAGGTTCAGCAATCTGATCATCACATGTCCTACTGTGTGACAGAAAGGTTCAAACGTCTCTTGCCACTGGCCCCACTAAGCAGGACCAATAAACGGAAGCCGTGCCTCGTGCATGCTTTTCCTGTACTGTTGTGGTAAGTATCTGTTATATTGTGCTAATACATCTGCAGTGATCTTAATTGTTATTAATTGCTGGCTCGAATGAGTCACCACATCTTTCCATTCACCAACTGACAAGAACGAGAAAACATGGACGCTGGCAGACGTTCAGAAGTTACACGTACTGTTTATTTTCACTCGCTGATGTTGCAGTCAGTAAATGTTTATACACGACAATATCACTCATCGATTATTAATTTAATGCTCTAAACAGTCAATCATACCTTTGTAACATCGTAGAATTCACACAACTCATCGAAACACAGTAGCTCCCTCCATCCAGACGACAGTCATTCACAGCTGGCCACCGTTTCCGTCAGCTGCTATTTTATGCCAGGTAGGCATTGGGAAATCACGCTATTCAGACGTCAACATTCTTCCGAACACATACACTTTCCCTTGGCCTAAACGAGACTGCCTCACAAACCTTTTCTTCGCTATTATATAGCCCTCTGATCTGTCCTGTTCTCGAATATTCTGGATAATTTCATTCTCACGAATTCCCCACCGTTGAAAGTCAGTCTGGCCCGTGATAATTCGCATTTCACACGAATCCTGCCAGTCAACCTTCATGGTTCACGTGAACAATCATGTTTCACATAAAACCTGACTTTCAGATGTCTCTCATGAAACTCAAGACATAAATCTCGTGTTATCTCAGTCAGTCAAAACATTCGTCTTACATTTATTACTGACGTCATCTATCGGGCATAAATTAATGGGGAGAAAATGACTCACTACATTCTCCCCCACCCCAAAAAAAATGTTTTACATTTTCAATCAATCAGGTGTGAACATTTCACTGAACATGGTGATTCTAGACCTTTGTAGTGAATCATTTTCGACAAGTTCATTTCCAACCAAGTTCCCTTTACCTCATTAGGGTAACAATTCAAACACTCTAAAATGCCATCTGTTGGGTCTTTGCACGACTGTGAATACCTTAATGGGATCCTCAACCCAGGCACTCCCCTTTTAGTGCGGAAGACCAATAATCTGGCTCCATAGGTATCCCCACCCAGTTCTAAAGTCGGTATACAACCGAACCCCTCTCCGGGCACCCCCCGATCGGTGCGGAAGTCCAAAATCTTGGCTCTAAAACTGAAATGTGACCCCATGAAGTCCCACCCTCGCTATTCCCATTCATGAAAGCCCTCAACAATGGCTAAATCAGCAATGTATGGTTTTGTTCCCAAATATGTAAGGTACAAGATGTAGTTAATTACCTTGTCTTCAGAAACTACAACATGTCTCATTAACACATATTCAAATTAAATGCTACACCAATTGAATTTAGCATACTAGTAAATGTAACATATTTTCTGGTGAGGTGTATTTTAACACTGAATGTTGTCTCCCTTTAATTTTAATTGTTTACTATATTATACCCGTTCAAATCAAAACATATACATTTTTCCAAGTTGTAAATTAATATAATACATTCATGCAATAATACAATGCATACCCTTGCATAAAATGATTTCAGTTAATACAAGTTGTAATAGCAGTTGCAACATGTTCTACAAACGTGACATGATATCTGGTAAATGATTGTCTGTTCCTTTGATGTGTTCAATGTTAAATTTGAATTGTGATATCAACAATGCCCATCTATATACCCTTGGATTGCTATTGGCATCAATTGTTAATAATTTTGTCAACCCCAAGTTATCTGTTAAAATAGTGAATTCTTTTCCCCAAAAGAACTTCTGAAACTTTTTTAGACTAATGACTAGTGCCAACGCTTCTCGTTCAAATGTATTGTATTTTTGTTGAGTTTGGTTAAGTTTCTGTGACATATACATTACTGGGAGTAATGTTTGTGAATGTTTTTTTGGAATGCGCAAGCATGCTAGCTATTGTGTGACCGCTGGCATCTGATTGTAGAAAAAATCTTTTGGAAGGGTCAGGTTGTCTCAAAATAGGATATTTTGAAAAACAGTTTTTTATTTCAACTAGAATTTCCTCATGTGTCTCATTCCAATCTGATTTTTTCAATTGTTGATTCTTTAATAACTCTGATAGTGGTGATGTTAGTGCTGTTAAATTTGGGATGAATTTACCATAATAGTTTATTAACCCTAGTAGAGATTGGAGCTGCTTTTTAGTTTTAGGTTTTTGGATCTTCAAAATTTTTGAAACAATGTTTTCATCTGTCTGGACTAAACCTTCGCATATAACATGTCCTAAGTAATCAATTTTGGTGTATGCAATTTCAGTTTTTAAAGGATTTACTGTCAATTTCGCGTCATTTATTCTTGATAGGACTTTCTGTAGGGTAGTGCAGTGGTCGTGCAATGTTTTGGTGTGTATACAGATGTCATCCATGTATGCTGTGACGTGAGGAATTGCATATAACAGTTTCCTAACCATTTTTGTGAAAATTTTCGGAGCGGTTATTAAACCAAATGGTAAAGGCAACCATTGTTTGAGTCCAATTGGAGTTTGAAAGCTAGTATATTTTACAGCTTCTGGTGTTAATGGTATTTGCCAGTAGCCTTTTGAAAGGTCAATTTTTGTTAAAAAAAAATTTGAGTTATATAATTCTTGTATGATTTCATCTGACGAAGGAATGGGCTCTGTTTCTAAATAGGTAATTTAGTTTAGTTTCCTATAATCAACACACAAACGTAGTGAACCATCTTTTTTCTTTACTACGACTAAAGGCGAACTGTAGTTTGATGTGGAATCTTCAATGATTCCTTCTTGTTGTAGTTGTTGCAATTCTGATATAACCTTATCTATATAATGGATAGGTATTACATATGGTTTTGATTTCACTGGCACTGATGAATTCAACTGGATATCGTAACTGATTATGTTAGTTTTCCCAGGTTTATTCATGAAAATATCTTTGTAATGAAAAATGATGCTCCACAATTTTGCTTTTTCATTTTCTGATAGTTCTTCATTTAACTTTATCGATTTCCAGTTGACTTCATTCTTTGTTGATGGTGTTGGAATATCTTCTTCTATAACGTCAGGTAAATCTTCATTAATTACATTACATAAATTTGCATCAAGTACATCATCATCTGACATCAATAGTGATCTTCTAAAATATGGTTTAAGCATGTTTACATGAAAAATTTTAAGCTTTTCATCAATTTTGATTTCATAATCAACATCAGAAATCTTTCTTGTAACAACAAAAGGACCTGACCATTCTATACATAACTTGTCTGACTTCTTGGTAACCAGTAATAACACTTCATCACCAGGGTTATATTTCACAAGTCTTGCTATTCTATTCGCATACTGTCGCTGTTTTAGACTGGCTTCTTTCATTGTTTCGTTTGCTTGTTGACAAGCAATCATTATTTTATTTCTCAGATCTGTTACTGATTCATAAGCTGATTTTTCTGTACCCGTTTCTGTTTTCCTGTGATAAGCTTATTATATAGCTGCAATGGTCTTCGAGGATTTGCCCCATATACAAAGTTCAAATGGCGAAAAACCTCTTGAGCTATGAGGAATTTCTCTATATGCAAAACATAATGGCAGGTAATAAGTATCCCAAGACTGCGGATGTTCAAACGATATTCTGGCAAGCATTGTTTTTATGGATTTATTTAAATTTTCAACCAAGCCATTTGCTTGTGCGTGATACGGTGTTGTGAAATTTTGTTTAATTCCTAACCAATTATTAAAAGCTTTTGTAGCCCAAGATGTAAACTGAGTACCTTTATCAGAAATAATAACTTCTGGAAAACCCACCCTTGAAAAAATTGTTAACAGCAGGGTTCGTAGTGGACCGGGAAATCGGGAAATTACCAGGATTTTTTTCGTTGACCTTGAACCGTGATTTTTAGCTTATAAAAGACATTCCGACCTTGAAAAGCCGTGAATTTTGACCGCTGCAATGAAATCTTGAAATCGTCAGAAATCATGTGTTTTTCAGCACAGGCAATTTTGGGGGAGTCATTTGGCTTTTTTGGCCATTTGGCTAGTTTTTGGCTACTTTCGTTGTATGGTCGTTTCAGGTGTGAGGGCAGCTGATTATTGGCTATTTTCAGCCGAAATGGCTTGTTAAAGGCCAGGGGAGGGCGGGCTGTGTTGCAGATCATGAATACATGCAGACAGCAGCGGTGTGGCATGGGGCGGGAAGTAGC